CCCCAGCCTCCATCCCTGCCTTGCCTCACCTCAGGGAGGAGATGCTGCTGGCTCTGGGACACTGCTCCGCTCCCTGGCCCTGAAGCCACATGCCTCCTCGCTCCCCAAGATGATGCAAGGGAGCAGAGCAGTGTCCCAGAGCAGGCGGGGCCTCACTTGGGACCGGCAGGGGACTCGTCCCGCAGGGGGGGCAAGGCATGAGCTCTGCTGGCTCCGGGGAAGTGCTCCGCTCCCCAGGCCTGATGTAGGGGAGAGGAGCACTTCCCCAGAGCCAGTGGAGCCCGCGCCAGGCTCCTGTCCCAGCCTCTCCTGGTGCACCGCCTTGAAAAGGCTGTGCGTGGCCACACTTCTAGTTGTGCACGGCCACGCATGCGTGCACCTTACAGGGAACCTTGCTGGGGACTGCAGACAAATAGTTCACAATGTGAAGATGGTGATGAATGAGAGCACCCCCTTGCTGCCAGTCCTGGCAGAGTCATTGGAGGACATCCAGACTGAATCAGGGTAATGCGCCGAGGACATGTTGATCACTCCAACCCTGAACATGCAGCATCATGCCTGTGTGCAGATGAAGGAGGGGGTTTGGAGGATGCAGAAGAGGGTAGAGAAATTGAGGAGTATAGCCATATGACTGCCACAACCAAGACTCCAAACCATGCCCCTGACAACTCAGGCCCCAGGTATGGTAAGTGTCTGAAAATCCATACTATGGGATATGGAGGGGCAGTTGGCACTCCTCTGTCAGTAGGCACTGCATTTGTGTGCAGGAGGACAGCTCAGCATGGGTCTGATGCTGGACCACAGATGGTCATAATAAGGTTGGGAGCCGAGTGCATACAAGATCTTTGTAGAAGGCTAAGGCAGTCCAAAGAGGATATACTGCCATCTCTAGTGGACATCATGCCCTCGGTTCAGTGGTCACAGGATGCCTGATGTGAGAGAGGAGTTTAGAAATGTGGCAAAGGCAAGAGACTAAAATGGAAACAGTGGTGGCTGCCATTGTCAGCCTGAGCTCTGGACTTACAAGTCCCGCCCCCCCCGCCCGGGTCCAATACAGCACAATTATTTTCAGTCTCAAATTTACATGCGATTTTAAGAATCCATGACAGTTTCATCCAGGGAGGACAGAAGTGACTTGATAACTTTTGAGTTCTGAGCTCTCTGTGGGCTCCTAGACATGTACGTGGAGCCTGCTTTAACACATTGGAAATCCAGTGTGTCAGAGCAGACTCGATTAATCATGGTCTGGTGGAGCACGGGAAAATGACTTGCTCTGGCAGCGTCTCATGTCATGTGTATTAGTGTGGCTGTGCATATTCATGCTGAAAAAGTGTTCGTGGGGTGCTTTGAATAAAACACGTTCAATGAGCTTCATTTCAGAGTGCCCTGCAACCATTTTTTGCATGTGATGCGTGGGTGCTTATAATTAGCATGGCTTGCCCATTAAAAGCATCCAGCGCCAGGTCCCACATGTAAAAAGGTCCTAAATGTCTAGTTTCATCACAATTGTAACTAGAGGCTTGACCATCTCATTAATAATCAGATTCTACAGCTAGGTTTTTACACACAGCAGTGATTTCTATACCTGCTATAGAGTATATAACACATGAATAAGAGAATCCTATATAATAAACTGTACACATCTTAGAACATATATTATTTTGAGTTTGGTTAGGAAAACAGAACATGGTACTTACTGTACAGTCAGAGGATTCCTGGAGAGAGCACCGATCTCCTGTGTTCCTTGAGTATTATTTATAGTGTGGCACACTATTACATGCTGAATGTCTTCTGGTGAAAGCCAAGCCCAGCAAATAAAAATTATCAGAAAGATTGCAGAACAAACAGTGTTTCAGCTGTTTTCCCAGACAAGCAAGGCTATCTGCTCATTGCTGCCTCACGCTATGCAGAATGGTGCCAGCACTCCATGGGGGTTTTTCATAGATTCATAGACATCAGGGCTGGAAGGGACCTTGGAAGATCATCGAGTCCAGCCCCCTGCCCAAAGGGCAGGAAGTCAGCTGGGGTCATAGGATCCCAGCAAGATAAGCATC